TGATTCGGAGGCAGAGCTTTTTCGAGGAGTTTATGTGATTTTTCGTAGAATTCAAGTGCTTTCGAGTAGTCACCCATGTTTCTATACACTCCACCGATGTTGTTGTAGGAAGTAGCCAATGAGGGGTGATTCGGAGGCAGAGCTTTTTCTTTTATTTTAAGTGATTTTTCGTAAAATTCAAGTGCTTTCGAGTAGTAACCCATCTTGTTATACACGAAACCGATGTTGTTGTAGGAACTAGCCAAATCGGGATGATTCGGAGGCAGAGCTTTTTCTATTATTTTATGTGATTTTTCGTAAAATTCAAGTGCTTTCGAGTAGTCACCCATGTTATTATACACTTGACCGATGTTGCCGTAGGAAATAGCCAAATCGGGATGATTCGGCGGCAGAGCTTTTTCTCTTATTTTATGTGATTTTTCATAAAATTCAAGTGCTTTCGAGTAGTAACCCATCTTGTTATACACGAGACCGATGTTGTTGTAGGAAGTAGCCAAATCGGGATGATTCGGAGGTAGAGCTTTTTTCTTGATTTCGAGATCTTTTTCGTAAAATTCAAGTGCTTTCGAGTAGTCACCCATGGCGTTATACACTTGACCGATGTTGTTGTAGGAAATAGCCAATTCGGGATGATTCGGAGGCAGAGCTTTTTCTTTTATTTTATGTGATTTTTCGTAAAATTCAAGTGCTTTCGAGTAGTCACCCATGTTGTTGTACACCAGAGCAATGTTATTGTAGGTAGGAGACAACGAAGGATGATCTTCTGGTAGAGTTTTTCGTTTAATTTTGAGAGACATATCATAATATGAAGCTGCTTCTTTGTATTGTCCTTGGTCGTTTTTCGACCATCCGAGCTGGTGATAGATATGTGCTCTATCACTGTCGTTAGAAGCCTGTTCTAGTAGTGCCATGTACAATTCTTCGGCCTTGTCAAATTGACCAATTTTGAGCAGCAATTGACCCATTCGATACCATCCAGTGCCGTCGACCTCTTCTCGTATACGGTCGGTTAATTGACGAAGCTGTTGGTCATCATCCGACGTAAGTTTAAGATCCACTTCATAAAGTGGACTTTTCTTATCAATTTTTCGAACTTCACCAATTCGAAAGACGGTGTGCATCGAGAAGAGAATTTCCTCTTCTTGTGCGAAATCACTAACCTCCTTGATGGAGGCAAAAGGAGTTGATGATACCATGGGATCGATAGTCATTTGAAAGAGAACTCCAATCATTCCTTCTGTTCCTAGGGCATCTCTGGCGAAGCCGAGGGAAATATCACGATCTACACTGGTGGATAAAAAATTATTGAATGAAATGAGTCCACCTTTGCTTTTGACGAGTTTTTCGTGATCTACCTTTGGTAATCCCTGCCCGCGATAAACAACAAATGTCTTACCATGATATTGACTAACTTGCTTGGTATGTAAAGTTTCAATTTGTCGATGAACATCACATAGATAAAATCCCATTCGGATG